CTGCTGCAAACTAACTAACTTTGATAAGTACCAGCCTCGCCAAAACTGTGCGAGGCTGCCAAGAATCACAAATAAGAAATATTTCACAACACAGGAGTCTTAAAATACCAACTTAAGATACTGTAATGTCCACGAGGCTGAGTTTCAAAACGTTTTTGCTTCCTACAAAGAACGTCTGATTTACAGCTGGCTTTTATCTTCTTGAAGGAGGGGCCATTCCCTTGCAGCCTTACTCCCGAGTCACCCGTGCTGTTGTAGCTGCTCTTTCCTGCGAGCAATCCTTTGTGCATGTGCACTTGGCACAGGCTCCTCGGGAACCTCCTCATCGCTGCTGCCAGCTCCCCCCACCAATCTCTGAAGGCAGCAATCCACTCCCTAATGGTCCCGGCCCCTCATTTGAGTCCTCGCTCTCCTCAGCCGTCCGCACCTGCTGCCGACTAACCACAACAGAGGGTTATCCCTGCTCCTCAAGAGGCAGCCTTCGGATTGCGACTAAAACAGGAAGAACGCCCCCCCCCCCCCGCATCAGGGACCCTCCTGCCTGGAGATCCCAGAAGCCTTGACCTCAGCCAACCAACTCTGCCCATTTGGCAAAACGGCGGAGAGGGACGTCAGGTTTATTTGGGAAAGGGGTTTCCCAGAATCTGATGAAAGATTCCCCGACTTCTCTCAAGGAAACCATTTCTCCTTCTCCCTTCATGCCCTGCGGTCTACAGCGGAATACCCACGCCCTCCTCCCTGGACCTGCCAAGCTGACCCCTGAGCATCCTGGGGGGGGGGGGAGGAATCTCGGCTGCCAGGAGTCAGGCAGAGCATGAAGGCCCCAAGGGGGGCTTCAAAGACCTCCCCCGCCTTGGCTTTCTGGCAGCAGAGAGGGGACAAAGAATGTTAATTGCAGAAGCAGCCGCCTTCTTCCCAGCCCTACGTGGCTCTTCTCACTCCCCTTTTGTTTTCCTGGGTTGGGGGGGGGGGTCCCCCCACTATGACAGGACATGATAGCAGCCTTCCAATGTTTGAGAGGCTGCCCCAAAGAAGATGAGGAGGGTCAACTTATTTTCCAAAGCATCAAAAGGCAAGAAACAAGAGGGAGACTCGCCACGGAGAGGAGCAACCTGGAATTAACCAGAAACCTCCTAACCGTGAGAACTATTAACCAGTGGAACAGAAGTTGTGGGGACTCCATCATTGGTGGCTTTTGAAGAAGAGCCTGGACAGCCACTGGTCTCAAATTGTGTGGGTTCTCCTGCCTGAGCAGGGGGGCTGGACTAGATGACCTCTGAGCTCCCTTCCAGCTCCCTTCCGATTGATTGCTGCAGCTCCAAATGTTCAGCCCTTGGTGAAAGCAGGCAGGCACAAAGGAATAGGCGTCCATGGGCTAAGCATGCCCAGCCAAGGCAGGTGGGTAGCAACCTCATTCAACGTCCAAAGCAGCCGGAATGGTCCCTGGCTGAGCCGTGGTTCCTCCTCCTGGCTTCTCTTTCACAAGGTTGTCATTGTGGGGGAAACAACAACCGAAACAGGAACAGGGAGGGAAGAAACCCCAGGGGTGAAACCCAGGGAGGCCAAATCTTTCTCTAAGGGACTCTTTAGAGCAGGATTGGATCAGTTAGAAACCCAGCACGGATCCCCCCTAAACAGGGGAAGGCGCCTTGCTTCGGGCCGGACCCCCCCCCCCCCCGCCTCCCCCAGCCATTTGTGTCCCCTGCCTGCAGCTTTGCTGCAACCATCCAGGCAAAAGGTGGAACCCAAAGCGACAGAACACGCAACGCCAGGGGAGAATTACGAAAGACTTCATTTTATACACAGAGTATGTACATTAGGTTTATCCATGCAGATTTCAATAGAAAACTCTGTACAAAAGGAAACAAAACGGGTTCCAGGAAAGGTGGGTGTTGGAAGCTCCAGCAAGAAGAAATCCAGAAAGCGTCCAAAGAGATGCGTAGTGATGAGGGCACCGACTGGCGAGGACAGGAAAGAAGCAGGAATGGCACACGGGGACAGACACAAAAGAAAAGAAAAAGAGTTCCTGGCTTGCATTTATGCATATCAAAAGAGCAACCGTGTGAGTGTGTGTGAATTTGGCTCGGATCAGGAATTAAAGAAAGGAAATACAAGAGGAATGGATAACAATTAAGTCATACTTTGTTTTTATAAAAAATGACACCCACAGACACAAAACTCGTCCCCCGGACCCTTTGTGGTCCAGGGAGGGTCCACAGATCATTCAACAGTTTGCACATCTCTGCTTAACCCCGTCACAACTGAGCATCGACATGGCTGGGCTGGCGGTGCTGCTGGAACCCCACAGACGGAAGGAACCGTCGCGGCCCGAGAACGAAGCCCACGTGACGCGGGACTGGAGGGCAGTGCTGGTTTCATAATCAACCCATTTTAAGAGCGGGTTATTTATTTATTGCCTTTATCTGTTAACTATATGACTTAGGAACTCCTGGACATCCCAGGCATTCTCCTCTGCACGAGAATTGTACGGAGGCCAGATAGTGAGAAGAGAAAATTTTATAAAGGGAGGGAGCAGGAAAATCAGATTCAGGTAAAAACAAAATAAAGGGGATTAATACATGGAGCCCACACACACACACACACACACACACACACACGTGATATGACTTTGCTTTACTTACCCAGTGCCTGGGGAAAGGGAGTGAGGGAGAACTAAAAATTTAATTTACTTCTATTTTTCGGTACCTTTTATTCTTAAGATAGGGGGCCATCCTTTTTATTTCGAAGGAATTAAAAATCCCAGCAACCGCAACCTTAAAAAAACATCTAAACCAACCAATAACAAAAACCAATAAATACCTAAAGACCAAATTTTCCCAGTCAGGCACCCCGAAGAAGCCATAGGCCTGCACAGGTGGAAGGTTAGGGCAACTGAATGCCAATCTATACAGAGAACAATCAACTGGGGGAGGCTGATCTAAATATAGACAAATCATTTCATGCATTTTAATTGAACACGGGCTCACAATTGCATTTTAATGCAGAACAAATGGAGGAAGGAGACTTCAAGAATTCCAAAAGTCACCCCCCACCCCCACCCCAAGGACATTTAGCAGAAGTCGGGAAGGAGCCTTTACACAAACACTTCTGCCTTCGACACACACACACACACACACACACACCCCTCCCGTCTTAGAACAGGCTGGAAGCTGATGCCCAGTTAGGGCCCCGTCCCTGGCACGGCGTACCTTAGGACAGGGGTCTCCAACCGTGGCCACTTTAAGACTCGGGGGACTTCCGTGCCCAGGATTCCCCAGCCAGCATGGGAATGGAAGTCCACAAGTCTTCAGAAGCCTCCATGGGCCTCCCCACCAGGCTCTGACGGTGGAGGAATGAGAAGAAGCCCCCCCCCTTTCCCCAACCCCTCTGCCGCCTCCCTTTTAGAGTCTCACCATCTACTGTGCAAAAGACGGGCCAACAGCCCTGCCCGAGTTGCCCGCTGAGGGAGCTTTGCTCTCCTGCAAGGAACAATGGCAGGAAAAGAAAGTTTAGGCTGCAGAACCCAGAGACAAGCCAGGGCCTTTCCCAAAAACGGCCCTCTCCTCGCTGCCTCCAGCAAGGCAGCTCAAGTTTCAACAGGCCTGTCCTGGTCTCAAGGAACACAAGGCCAGAAATAATTGGCGCTGGGGCAACCCAGACCAAAAAAAAAAATTGGATTTAAGTCTTGCTTAGCAGGTATCTGCCAGAGTCACTCTGCCCCCACGAGGCAGGATTTTCTGCCTCTCCAAAATTCACCTGTATGCAGGTGTCACACCTATGAATGACACCCCCTCCTCACCTTGTCTCTTCAAATGGGGCTGAACTCCTCCGCTCTGCCTTGTTTTCTCCCTCCCCCTTTTTTAATATATGGAGTTAGACTGGTAAGATGTGTGTTCACTGGGAAGAGAAGGCAAACTGCCCTGGCGAATAGATCTCTACCCCAAAGCAACCCCGAGAGAAAATTTTCCTGTCTTTTCTGAGCTTTTGTCCTGAAATGGAAATAAATAAGAATTCAATTAAAAACCTCTTGAAAAGCTTCCCTGGGGTTCAGTAGGTTTCCCACTCCATCGAGGGGCTCCCACCAGCCCTGCCGCAATGGGGAAAGCGGTGCCCAGCCTCACTTTTCACATGGGGTGTGTGTGTGGGAGGGATCGCTGTGTAGCTCTCCGACGGTCACCGCAATCCCGCCACATGCTTCGTTCAACTAACGGGAAAATTCCTTGGGCTGCCCAAAAAAAAAAAGAAAAAAAAAGTGCAAAGAATTTGATTTCTTAATAATTCCAACGAGAAAAGGCAACTCAGTCCAACCGAAGGGGCCTCCAGGCAAACCCTGAACCTTAAATCGCTACGAAGGGGAGCGACGCAAAGCTTATTTCCAGGCATTCCCCAAACGCCCCGGGGCAGGCGCCCTCCGAGGGGCTCCCTTCTTGTGGGGGAGGGAGGGAGGGGAGGACTCTGGATGGAACTTGGGGGTCTCTCTCTCGAGCCCCCCCAACGGGCCTAAAACAGCTCCCAAAAGGAACAGCAACACTGAAAGAACACGTGTGTGTGTGTGTGTGTGTAGAGCTTGCAATACTGGCTGCTCTCTTGAAAGGTGGCAATGGAAGAGACTACTAGAGATGACACCACTGGAGTTCTCATGCAAACACACACACACACACCATTTCTCCTTCCCATCTCCCCCCCCCCCCGCTTTATCTCCTTTCCACTTACACACACACACACACACCCTTGGCAACAACACTGGGCAGAGAGGGACTGGCAGTCAGGGGTTCCAACCACAACACAGGAGGGACTGGAATCGCTCCCCGCCTTAAACGGGGCCCGGGGTGTGGGGGGGGGAGGGAGGGCAGCTATCAAGGCTGCTCATCTTTCTTCCTCATCCAACAACAACAACAACAACAAATGATTGAACAATGAAGTTGGGAGCGAGCAATGAAATCCTGGCTATCGCAATATAAACCTGAGATTATTATTTTTTCCTTTAAAAAAACTTTTTCTTTTTTTGGCAGTTTTACTGAAAAGTTTTTAACTAACACTCTTTTTGTAGGATTCTCCATTAAAAACCCTACACGTCATTATTTATCCCAGACGAGGAAAATAATTTTTCAAACATCCACTGACCAACAAATACATTAAAAATGATTACATATCAAATTAAATATGATAAATAAAAGCATATTTACATTTTTTTTTCTAAAAACCAAACTTATTAAATTCAAAGTGTGCAAACTGAAGAACATCCAACATTCAGATGTTAGTCCTTTAAACTTCACGTATTACCAATCTTACAAAAAAACCTAATATTTAAAAATACGCATTGCATCTATTGAGACGTAAAGAAACTGCAAAAATGTTTTAAGACTAGGAAAAGAGTTATTACACAGGCACTTCACAGGTAAACAATCTACAGTACAACTGAAAAATATTTTGGCACCAATCTAGAATACTGGGGGAGGGAAGAAAAACCACACAATTTGTCCTTTATATTGTATACGACTCTGTCATCGCCAGCATACACCCAACTAAAATATTGGAAATGGTACATCGGTAAGAAGTGCCAGAAATGAAGGCTGCAAATCTTCTCAGAACTGGTCAAACTGTTTTCCGTGATGCTCGTCCAGATTTTCTACTGCGCTGGAGTGATTTCTGTTTATTTTGCAAGCATACATGGAAACTTTGATGCCTGTTGAAACTTCTAATGCAAATGCCATTTTAGGAGCTGCCTCGCTCCATAACATCCCTGGAAAGGAAAATGCCACTGAAAAGCCTGCCCCACCATAAGCCTTTGTCGAAGCGCCTGCGTTTCCTCCTTCGAGGTGTGCTGCCAGACCGAAGAGGAATTTGGATGCAGTCAAACCCTTCTTTCAAAAAGTCCATTAAAAAAAGGGGAGGAGGAGGAGGAGGAGGCTTGACAGGTGGCTGAGAGCCAAACGCAGGACAGGCTCTACCTGGAAAGAGAATCTGATGGCCTCGAAATCTCTTTATGGCTCTCGTGGTAAAAAAGAAAATAGGAGATATATATATATATATATTTTCCATGCTCCCAGGGAATTGTCAGCTGACACCCCGGTTCCCAACACGCAACCCAGGGGCAGCCCTGAGGGCGGATGGCTTGGAGCAGAAAGGCCTGGGGTGGCTCCGCCAGCTTCTTCCGCAGGAGCCCCACTACAGGCAGGAGAGCTGGGAAGCTCTGGAGGAAGGGATCTCCAGCAGGGCCTGGACAGTGAGTCCAACTTTGACCAGTCCTCTCTCTTCCAAAATGTGATGGGGCAAGCAGAGCCTTTCCTGCAAAAGGAAGAGAGGTTCAGGTTCCCCTTCGGAACAAACCCAAATCCAGGCCGGTGACGGGGGAAGACCTTCCTTTCCTGCCAAGGCCAAGGGGGCCCCAAGGACGGACGGACTTCCCAGGACCCGAGGGCTCTCCAACCGGGGCAACTTCTTTCAGCCCGGAGGACTTCAACCCCCAGAATTCCCCAGCCGGAGGAGGAGCACTACTCTTTTTTTTGGGGGGGGGGTGTCTAGTGGGGACCTTTTGCGACCTCCAGACAAGCAAAGTCAGCGGGGAAGCCGGTTTCGCTTAACAACGGGGTCCCTAACTGAACCGCTGCACTGATTCGCAGCTGCGGCAAGAAAGGTTGCAAAAACGGGGCAAAAGGCGCTTAACATGCGTCTCACTTCGCCACGGAAATCTGGGGAGGTCACGGAGGACCGCTTGCATGAAGAGAACAGCCTCCCCTGCAACTGGCGTCGCTGAGCACCTCCGCAATTTACCTGTGCCACGCCCAGTTTTTTGCAAGCATCCAGGAAATTTTCAACGTTTCTTCGGCATTTTGCCATACTGAGCTTAGGCTGTTGAGAGAGAGAGGGAGAAAAAAGAGGCAGAAGCGTCAAGGGAAACAACCCAGGCAAGGAGCAGCAGAAGGAAACTATCGCCGGTCTAGTCCAGAGGTCTCCAACCGTGGCCCCTTTGAGACTTGTGGACTTCAACCCCCAGAATTCCTCAGCCAGCAGAGCCCACTCTCTTGCGATCCCTTCCTCCGCACTCTCCTCCTCTCCTTGGAGAGGAGAAGAGGAAAAGAAACAGGCACGGCTGGCTGAGGAATTCTGGGAGTTGAAGTCCACATGTCTCAAAGGGGCCGCGGTTGGGGACCCCTGCCCTAGTCCTAAGATTAAGGGAGGTTTTCTCCAGGGGAGGCAATGCGCGCGGCTCACTCACCACAGCTGGTGATGGGACGTGTATGCTGGCCACCGAGCGTGGCCTGATGTGGTTGGCCAGGTGGCAGAGAACCACCCCATCCATGAGAGCGGCTCCGATATCCTCGGGCAAGCTGACCTTCAACCGCGACTCCAGGTTCTAGGGAGAAGGAGACACACTCAGGGTCAAAGGCCAGCAGCTCTCCCTGGAAAGGCACCAGCAGCCCTCCCATTAAAGGAGGAGACTCCAACCACGGCAACTTTAAGTCCACAATGTCAGGATTCCAGCAATCGCCCTAATTAAATCATGATCCTCGAGCCAAACTTCAAAAAACTTCCAAGGATTCATTAGCGGCGACATACTGGCACTGCCCTGTGTGAAGCCAACTCTGGCAGTCCCATGTCCCCGTTTCCCCCCCTCCTCCCGGATGTGTCATAAATCAGATTCTCCAACTGAGCCCATTCACGGGCTGGGTGTCATCAATCACATTCTCCAATTGAATATATTCCCGGGCAAAAGCTCTGGTAGTTTAGTTACAATCTTTTAAAGAGAAGAGTTGGAATGTACTTTCTCTTTCAACTGCTGCATTGCTCTCCCAGCTTTCCTTCCTCTTTTTATGGCAACTACTAAAAGAGGCTTAGGAATGTTTGATGAACTGACACACAAGTTGCCATGGTTGTAGAGCCCCGCATGAAAGGCAAATTACACTGCGCAGCTGTTTGATCTGTTCCCTTTCTTCCCGCAGGTGTTCCATTTTCCTCCTCATGGTAAATCCAGGGTCCACGGTGCTGTAGTCCTGACGAGAACGCCCAAACGCTGAAAAAAAGGGAAGCAGGCCATTGGAAACGCTGCAGGGAACGGCTGGCGCACGATGCCACTTGCGCGCGCCTCCCTCTCAAATCCAATAAACTAAAACTGCTTCTGGGTTATACGACAATGGCGTTCGTCACGCAAGAGGGTGTGTGTCTGTCCGTCAGAGGGGAAGGTTGCATATAAAAAAAACCAGGGCAGGGTTTGTGCAGAATTTGTACAGAAACAGGTGTTCTAATCGATAAAACACATTCTCCTTGTGTGGGAACGAACGGCTCTCGTTCGGTGTGGGAGAGAAAATTTCCAGCGGGAGGAGATTTAGGCCACCCATCCCATACTAGCCCAACTCCCTTGACCCAGTAATGGCAGCCCAAGATCCCGCAGCATCCCAAGGGGGGGGGGTGTCTCCACGATCAGGTGGTGGGGGCTACAGTGCAGGGTCTCCGCAACCAAAGGACTGGCCCTGCAATGCCCTGGCACAGCTGGCAATGCAGCCGCTTGTGTCTTCTCTTCCTTTGCACCCTCTGCCCGTCACTTCATAGTCCTCCCCTTCTTCTAAACTCAACCTCTGTCTCTAATCCAACCCCCAACGTATTCTAAGCAACCTCTTTTCTAACACCGCCCCCCACCCTCCCCGCAAGGCCTGCAGAGTAAAACATGTGAAGAACGGCTGCGGGATTTGGGTTTGGCTAGTCTAAAGGAAAGAAGGCCTGGGGGTCAGGATAGCAGTCTTCCAGGATTTGAGGGGCTGCCACAAAGAAGAGGAGGGGGTCAACCCCTGAAGGCAGGACAAGAAGCAACAGGTGGAAACTGATCAAGGAGAGAAGCAACCTGGAACTGAAGAGAGACTTCCAAACAGGGAGGACAATTAACCAACGGAACAGAAGTTGCCTCCAGAGGTTGTGGGCGCTCCATCACCGGAGGCTTTTAAGAAGAGACAGGACAGCCACCTGTCTGAAATGGGGTAGCGTCTCCTGCTTGAGCAGAGGCTGGACTAGAAGACCTCCAAGGTCCCCCTTCCAGATCTACTCTGATTAATGACATTCCTCACCTGATCGGGGCTTCAGTCCAAAAGGGCCATGAGGACTCCCATCTGCCCGGTCATAATCCTTGAAAGGAGGGAGGAGAAGCAGAGCGGTTAGATGGCCTCAGGGGGCACCCCGAGGCATGCAAGGGTCAAGAATCCAGGGGCTTCGGCCTCAGCTGGAAAATCTCTATGCAGAGAAGGTATTTTGCCGTTTTCTCAGTCTGGACAAAATGAGCCTGGATGCCCACGGCCCTTTGGCCATAGCGTGGGGAATTCCTGAAAAAGGGGCACTCGGCGCTTATAAAAGTCCAATCTAGCGCTAGGACTTCAAAGCTTCAGGGAGGGGAGACATTCCCGAGAAAGATCCCCCCAAAAGCCCTTCGATAACACGTTTCTTAGCGGATGGGAAGAGTTCCGAAACTTTTCTTCTTCTTCTTCTTCCAAACATACGTCGCGGGCCCTGCCCCATATGTCGCTCTTGGGAGGGAGCTTCCACTCTTCGGGCAACGCCCATTTACACCCAAACGGCACGTCATGGTTAAAATCCACTTCGTGGTACGCGGACAGAAATACACAGAGACAGACAGACAGACAGACAGAGAGACTTGTACCTCGGATGACACGGGAGACTGTGGAGACACATTAGCATGATCACTGTCTTGCTACAAAACAAAAAAAAAAAAAAAAGTGGACGTTTGTAAAATGAAATGCTTTGAACATGAAAAGTTTTGGTCAGGCAACACGTAACATGTGCATGTGTACAAACACGTATTCTGCCAAACAGAGACACAGGGCTAAACACATGGAGATGCTTCTCTGTTTTTCTGATGTCACAGCCTACAGACCAGGGGTCTCCAACCTTGGCCCCTTTGAGGCTTG